ACAGATGGCCCATTGTGTAGCTGTGTGCTTAATTTCAAACAAACAAACAGAAAATCTAGCTGATTTGTGAGAATCTGGTTATTAATGTTAAAAAATTTACACTAAACAATACAGAAATTGACAATACACAAACACGTGGACTGAATTACAACGAAAAAACTAATTTCAAACAGACAATGACAGCTTCTCTTTCAAACACGGAAAATCACATCCTGTTTCTTCACCCCTCTCCCGTATCTGCTTTTTTACAGTTTTCTCTGTCTTCTAGTTGTTTCTTCTGTTCTGACTGATGACTGATACAAAGGGTATTTTGAACTGATTTATAAAGCAGCTTGAATCAGACTAACAGTGGAACAGAAGAGATGAATTTCTCTCGATAACAATTAGCGCTAAATTTTATTTTTTAAAGACTAGAACCATAGCACACACACACACACACGCACAAACGCTAAATCTTTGAGAACAAAGAAAAACACTCTTCTAATGTTCGTGAATCACAACTAATGTAAAGAAATGGCCACTTTGTAATCCCATGGGTAGGTCGAGCTAATAACCCCAAGAAGGACAACCTCCAAGACAGCCAAACAATACAATGAGACAGTTTAGAATTGTCGGCTGCTATGAAAGCATAGCACGGGTTTTAACAATGGTGCGATAAACAGTTACCATAGAAACCTGTCAATTTTGAATCACAAATTTAAATCGTTAAAGACTGAGCTTAGATTATATAGATAGATATAGCTTTATGTGTACATAAGTATTATATATATAGTTTAGTTTCTTGTGTAGATTTAGATGTGAAAGAACGGGTAGTTTACGGTATAGGAAGATATGAATATATATCATCATTAATTCTCAGACCTTTTGCAGATAGATCCAATCCCTCTACCGGTACAAAATCTTCCGGGCAGAAAGAGCAACACCTGGCGAGAGTTGTTATTTCAAACCGAACTTCCACCTCTTGGATTTAATACCTACATCATCAGGGAGATTCACGGTACTTTTTTTTACGTGCGTATTTCCCGAACTCGCGTGAAGGCACTTGGCAAATCATATACTTTAAACCTTAGAGACTATTGTTTCTGCCTGTTACAAGGATCACTTGCAAGGAATAGAACATATTTCATGCTGAATTTTAAGGTGCAATATTCTTTAATATAGCAGTATAATACGATTACGGGAAGTTTTATTGAATAAATTTGGATATTGTGTTAAAAAGTAAAAAATAAATAAAAATAGATGCAATGTGACATCTAGTGTTTACTAGTGAAGTTAGTTTATTAAATAGTTCAAGTGGAACAAAAAGTATTAAATCATCGTTGAAAGATGTTTAATAAACTTTCTTCAGAATGTTCACATTGTTCTAAAGTGGAATTAAGCTTTTATGATCTAAACAGTTAACATTTAAACATTAATGTGTGAAAATCCACAATCCCATTGATAATAACCATCAGTGCGATGAAAAGACTCAGCTGTAATAGGAAATATTTTATTTTTGAAGATTATGTGCCCGTCGTTGACCACAACAGTGGAATTTTTAGCCAGACAGAACATGACGTCACTCTTGGGAACGAGGTAACGATTCTCAAATATGTTAAGCTAGTTCTTCATAAATTATAATGCAATTGTTGAGCACGGCCTTGTTTTACTCGTTAATTGTATTCGTGCTTACATAGAAACAATAGTTGTTTGCGAGGTAAATTGTTTTAATAATCTAAGACACAGGGTTTCGAATCACAAGCATCATTTCACTAAAGGTTGGGGGGCAGCCCTAATCTCACGTGGTTTCACCCACCCCCAATTCAGGTTGGAGTTCTAAGCTGTGGTATAATTTGCGTGTCTCTGTTAATCCCGCCAAACTAGACATGTTTCCGAGCTTGTGGGGCTGTCGCTCTCTTCCCCCCAGACATGATGCCCCTGTTTCGAATGCTGTAGGTCTGGGTTCTCAAGCCATTGAACATATCAAGCACGTTTTGTAATTATAAGAGTAGAGTTACAAGCCTTGTCAAGTTTTGAGTATTTATTTGTTTTGTTTTGAAATTTTTATAGTTGCTGCAAGTGATCATTGATAGAAATAGTGGACTTTTAAAAGCGATGGTTCTGGAAAATGAAACATACAACATACGCCAGTCATTCTACTGGTACGAAGGCCAACCAGGTTTCGGCAGAGAAAAGGCTTCTGGTGCTTATGCCTTTAATCCTATTTCTAATCGGGCCTTAGACTTGTCTGGTAACACCACCTTTCGGATTGTAAAGGTACTAATAATTTTCTAGTAAAATTAACAGATTAGTAGAAGTTAAACGTAAAATTAAACCTTTTTCTTATCTTAATACCGTAGTGAAAGTGAAATAATTTATACTCTTAGTAAAATTTAGGTTTTTATTATTCCATTCCAGACCCTAAAACTACTGAAATTACATTATCTTATGTGATAGATATTTTACCTATAAAATGACATTTGTTAAAAAAATGCCTGAAAAAAAATTACTTCATGTTCAATAGTTTCGAAACCGGTTTCATTTCACTCAATTCTATAATGTCCTATCTTTCTCTGATAATGATATAATCAACGGTTGTCATGATATAGTAAAATTAACACTCCAAGTAACAAAAATATGTGTAAGTTGGTAGGATGTTCACATCGATGTATTAAAATCACCTAAGAAAGGCTGTTAGCTATTGGTGGAGATAACTTGTTGCTATTATCTGATTGGTTGCCTTGATTAATGATTTTTTTAAATGTTTGTAGGGGGATATTGTGGAGGAACTGCAGCAGACCTTTACACCTTGGTTAAGCCAAGTTATTAGGATTTATAAGGGGGTGAAGCATTTGGAATTTGAATGGGTGGTAGGCCCTATACCAGTTGGGTATGTATGAATTTTACTGACGTATGAGACCTTCAGAATACATGAGATGTGTATACCATCTCTATATCTATATCCATCTATCTATCAGAAACGCAAATACGATTTAAAATATTCACAATTTAAATCCAATCATCAATGCATGTTATTGAGACTAGATCAAATAATTCATATTTTGCTATTTTAGCACTTAACAAATCTCCTTAGGTAACTGAGTTTTTTCGTAATATTTGGAGAGCTAAAAGCAAAGTTTTGTCTTGAAGTGATTGGCGGGGAAAGGAGATTGTTAGCCGATTTGAATCAGACTTGGAGAGCAACGGAACGTTCTACACGGATTCCAACGGTAGGGAGACGATGCAACGAATGTAAGTTCAGTTGAAGCTTCGTCACTTTAACTGTTTGAAGACAATTAATATTTATGCTATCACTGAAGGAAAATAAGATTAAGGCTTTCTTGAAGTTAACACTTGTCAAAGTGACATCAGTTAGAAAATATCATAAAATATTGGCTTATATTTCACCAACATTCTGATGGCTAAAAACTCTTCAGTTAAGATATTTTAATCGGTTTCGTCTATGTTGATTTTTTTGACAAATTATAGTTTGGTAAATTTTGTATTTTGAAGTTAATTAAAATAAATATTCACTTATCAATGTTCTAGTTCCAGAGGCATTTACATATTAAAGTCCTAGCTCTAGATATCTAGATATTAAAATTTAAACTCCTCATTACTTGGCTATCAGTGTCTACATCTTCACGTAAAAGTAGTTACAAGAAATGTTTTTTTTAAACTCTTCACCTAGAGGATACCAGTGTTTATGCTTTTCATTTTGAAGTACTTAGGTATCTATGTCCAAGCCCTTTATGTGGAGATATTTAGGTATAAAAGTTAAAGGCCAGCATTATTTAGGTATCAATGTCCAAGCTGTTCATCTTTAGGTAATTCGATATCAATATTCAAACCCTTCAATTAAGTATTCAGATATCAATATCCAATATCTTTTTTTTTGTAACCAACAATTGATCCAGTTATGCTATTTTCAAGTTTTGAACAACTCGACTTTCAAGATCTACATATCTACATGTGCCGATGTTTCCGTTTATCAACGTTATATTTTAAGATCTGTGCAAGAACTCAGCTAACAGATGTTTCCGCATATAAAAGCTATCTTCAAGTTTTGTACATCAAAAAACGTTTCATGAATATTTAATAGCCAATGTCCAAATTCTTCCTTTAAAGGTACTTCGATCTTAGTTCACAAGCTTTTTCGAGTAAGGATGTTAAACTATCAGTGTTCAGGCTATTTACCTGGATGTCCTACAGGTCGGTAGCCAATGGAAGAATGGAAGGCAGCCCATCACGGTAGACTGCTGCGAAATGGCTATAACTCTTTGAACTCTATAACTCTTAGCAGAGTGTAGAATTACTTCCAAATCAATGGTATAGTTGACACAAAAGATGTCCAGAAAAAGTGATCTATCAGAGACATGTCGTTATCGACATATTGATGTTGAAATGAGAAATCGGAACCAGGCTCTGCTCTTCCTGATCATCCTCGTTATTGAAGTGAAATATCATGAAGTTTAAAAATGTAAAGCCCCCCTCCCCACACACATCTCCACCAAATGTTGATTTACTAGTGTAGGCTTAACAACAACATTTGCATTTCAGATCACATGACGAATAATAATGTGAGATTTATATAAAAACGAGTTATTTTGTGTAATGTAGTATACTTTTGTCATCCAGTGGGTCAGCTGTAAGTTTATGGACTTACAACGCTAAGATCCGGGGTTCGATTACCCATAGTGTACAGAGCGCAGGTAGCCTATTTGTAAGGTTTTACACTAAAACAAACACACAAACAGTATACTTTCCATCACCAAGAACCTTGTTTCTTTACAGCCGTAATTTCCGTCCCACGTGGTCACTAAACGTTTCAGAACCTGTTTCCGGTAACTATTATCCTGTAACAGCGTGGATTTACATTAAGGTAAGTAACATTTCTTGTATGCGTGTGTATAACAAATGTTCTTTTGGCCAGGACACATACATGAATTTGTTACATTCATTACGTTCCATGAAAGCATGAATAAAAAATACACAAACAAAAATATATTCGTTCCAAAAAAACAACAAATCGTTTGGATGGTTAAAACTTATTCATGCCAAGTGTAATTTGCATATTTGAATCGTACAGAAGGAAGTTCTGTTAGCAGTACATTAATTCTCTAGTGACGTATATATGAGGTCACAGTTTAATATACTGTGTTCGTAAGTCCCCCGGTAAGTCTTCGGAGTTACAAAGCTAGAATCAGGGGTTCGATTCACCTCGGTGGCCGCAGCAGATAGACCGATATGGCTTTACTATAAGAAAACACACACACACGTTTTGTAATCATTATCACAGTGAAAATAAATATAAATAGTAGTGTTTCAATAAGTCGGATTTTCTTTTGTACTCTTTACACGTAATCCTTTAGGCTACAAAGTTCTGTTGCTTTCGAATAGTGGACCTTTTGTCCCTGAAAAAGAAAGGTCCACGCTCGGGTTATAGAGTATCGTGTCTTTGTGTTAAATTGATTTACTGAAACTACGTGTTCTTCTAATATCATGAAGGTTCAATTGCCTCCAAAATCTTGGATGTTTCATGATATGCAATTTTTATTTTGTCAAATATGATTTTATTGTTAGGTCATATTCGATCCTAGAGTCGGACACAGTGCAGATGATTTTAGATATATAATTGAAAAAATAAAAACGAATTTTTAATGCTGATATAGGTTTAAAGCATTACTAGAAGAGAAAGTCAGCCTGTATTAGTTTTCCAATTTATAATAAAAGCTCACTTCGTTAATTTGAGTTTTTTTTTTTCTGTATATTAGTAAATTACATAAAAGATGTGATCTTAATAATGCACTTTTTACAAACAGGATCCATTACGGAATCTTCAGCTTACTATTCTGCCTGATCGCGCAGAGGGCGCTACCAGTCTTTATGACGGAGTTCTTGAATTAATGGTAAATGATGCCTTTTATATTTAAATTTTTATAGATTCAAAAATATGAGAGGAGAATAAGAATAAAATTGAACTGTTTACTGGAAAACTTAGTGCTTTATTTTTATACTTACGGGTGACAGTTAAAATATCCTAATTGACAATAATTTGGTCCTCAGTGGCTCAGCGGTAAAGTTATAGTGCTAAAATTTGGAGTCCCATGCTTGTGGTGTGCACAACGCGAATAGCCACTTGTACTGCGTTGCTATTAAACAAACAAGTTGACAATAATTAATATAAGTAGTCCGGTGTGTTATTAGTTTTCTACGGAAAACTAAAAGATTTAGGTTACTGTTCAGTAGGTTCATCAAAAGAGGCAGTAACTAATTGTATCTCAGTAGTATGAAAATTCAAAGATAATATAACATTACCTTTTTTGTAAATAAAGTTGTATAAAGTTTTGTTTCAAATAAAACACATTTCAACAGGTCCATAGAAGGTTGCTTTATGATGATGTATATGGAGTAAGTGAACCTTTAAACGAACGCGGAATTGATGGAAAGGGTCTCGTAGTGCGAGGAAAACATTATTTGCTCCTCGGATCAATAGATGGCGCTGTTTTGGAAATGAAGGATTTAGCTCAAAGAGCTTTGATGAAACCAGTAATTACCTTTTTTCAAGCTAATTTCACGGACAACGATGTCGAAGAACCAGAAACATTAGCATTTGAAAGAAAGGTAATCCATTTAAAAGAGTTGTTTTATCACTTGAAATACATTTGCAAGTAATACAAAATGCATTTCGTATCTCTCGAAGCTCTTGGAGTGTGGTTAAGGGCAGTTGGTTAAATATTATTATCGTTGTTCAATCATACATTATAACATTTGTTTGTATTCAAAGGATGAGTTAGTGAACTAATAGTTGGGTCGTAGTTGTTATCTAATAACGTAGTATGTTATTTACTAAATATCTGTAAAATCAAGCAGCATGTGTTAACAGCCTGCGATTTATAATTTGGTTAAACCAGTGTTCTGAACTATCCATATAAACTCAGCCATGTGTTTCCAACTTCATTTTTTTTACATACATTCAATTTCACAAAACTCTAATAACACAATTTCTGACAGTTTTCAGGACTACAAGATGAACTTCCATCTAACATACACCTACTTACGCTAGAAAGGTTGGAGAAAAATAAAATACTTCTCCGGCTGGAGCATTTTCATGAGAAGGACGTGACTTCAGAATTGTCTCAGGCTGTCAATGTTTCTCTAGTGGTAAGCGTCTACTTCTATTTTTCTTCATCTTCTTTCCATCCCTCATCCACCAGTTTGTCTTTGTATACAAACATGTGCGTATGTGTGTTTTATCAGCTTATTCTTCTGTTCATCTATCTATCCCTATTCTTCAATTCTCTCTCTCTATATATATATACATATTTATATTTGCTTCTCTATCTAAAATGACTTCCTTTTTTATGTTGCCATTTTAGTCTCTATCTAACGAATAGAAATCAAGCGCTTGCTTTAAGTCTCCCGGTCTTAGTAAAAACTAAAGTGGTCGAATTAAGAACTTTGTGAGCTATAGAAAGATAAAATCTTTACTTCTCAATATGCTAACCTGTCCAATCGACCAATAGTCTTCAAAGTTGTAGATGCTAGAATTAAAAAAAATATTGTTGATTTATCAAAGATTGACAAAAAACCAAAAAGGTTCAAAAAATACAAGAACTTCGAATAATGTTAGGTCTGGTTGGCAAAGACAATTATGATTAATTTTGCCAAGTTAATAACGTTTTTATTATTACTGCAGAATTTGTTTCAACCATTTCAAATCATGGAAATCCGCGAGATGGTGCTGTCAGCAAATCAGTACTTGGATGAAGTTAGCAGGATGAGATGGACTGTGGGTAAGTAGAGGACAAATATTGTCCTATCATGCCTTTACGGTTATCCGTATAGATGCTTTATTTTCTGAATTTTCAGGAATTTCATTATGACACTTTAAAAAGTGTTGCTATACTCGCGACAGTAGGAACAGTAAAAACTATATGCAAAATTTTAGTAACACACTGCCAATAAGTCTGCTGCGTTACAGTATGTTTTGCTCTTTTTTAAACAAGTAGTATTAATACTGTGCATATGTTAAGAAACAGGCAACGTTGGCTTTTTCAAACAACGTGTCGTTCTCCGTCAAAGTGTGGATATGTTTCAAAATAGAGCTGACACTTGAGTATTATAGCACTTCTGGTAGCAATCTGTCATCCATAAACATTTTAAACAACGTAAGAACAGTTAATATGTATATGTATGTATATATATGTGTGTATGCGTGTGTATGCTTTTGAACCAGCCTGCACTATATGACATCCTATATATTTATATTTTAATCATTTGGAGATATTTTATTTTTGCATCTCTGATAATTCTACAAATATTTCAAAACATTTAATTGGCCCCCCAGTGGCACAGCGGTATGTCTACGGACTTACAACGCTAGAAACCGGGTTTCGATACCCGTGGTGGGCAGAGCACAGATAGTTGTGCATATATTGTTGTATAGAAGATATTTTAAAGTGATTCATCAGGTGGAAAATGAAGTTTTGTAATAATGGAATGTAGGGAAAGTGACCCGAAAAACGGGGCAACCTCGTGACCCGTTGAGTCAACCATTATTCAGAGGTTATGAAGAATTCAAGTTAATTTCAATATTGCACCGAAATTAAGGTTTATTTTGAGATAATATAATAGCCAATGCTCGGCGAGAGGTTTTTGTTTATAAAATTTTGTTGTTGTTCTCGACTTGATTTTTATTTTATTACCTCGTCTCTATACTTACTATTTGCAAATAGTCAATAATATTGTAGGTCCATTTTCTTGTTGTTCTTTCTACGCGCCGTTATAACACATTTTCATCTCATCATTTAATTTCTGTTGTGCATATATTGTTGTATAAACGAGGTTTTATAATAATTGAATGTAGGAAAAGTGACCCGAAAAACGGGACTAACTCGGTAACCCGTGGCCCATATTAACGAAACTTGTTTTATTCTGTTTCTATTCTCATTTCATTACAAATATGGGATTATTGTGCGCCGTTTTTGCTGTATTTAATTACAGACAAGCAAACAAACAATCTCAGAGTTTTAGTAGTATATAGATTTGCTTTATTTATTTTGCAGCCAACGAGAGCAGCACTCAACACGACGAGCCAGTTCAGTCTCTTGAGCCAGCCAACTTTACTGTCACTCTCTTACCGATGGAAATACGAACTTTCTTGGCAACAATTTCGGTTAATCCTCCTGATATGGAAATTCCTTCTGTCATGAATAAACTATCATGAAGAATATAGTGGCAAGAGTTAGCGTTATCTTCATGGCTAGGTCATTGAACTGAAATATCCATCCTTTGCATCAAAGAGTAACATAATTATGTAACTTCACAAGTCTGTCTATTCAGCAGCATGTACTGTATGAGTCATTTCCATTTTGTTTTCAAAAAAGAAAATGAATAATTTTCTGCATTATAATGTGGAAAGTTATTATTACTATAACACACCTTTCGTCCAAAGAATTTACAACTATATAATTACACATAATTATAATTACATTTTCACTATAATATTAAGCGAATGTACAAATTTTTATTCACAATATCTTTATTTTCAGTTTATTTGCATGCTCCTATATATATTATTTTGTGTGTGTCGCTAGATCATCAGCGCGGTGATCGTGTTCCCGATATTTTTATACTTATAGCTGGAGCAAGAGTTATTCAAATATCGATGTACTTTTAACGAGCGACTAGGCTTATGCTAACGACAGTGAGGGCTGTGTTATTGCGCTTCTTATTCCAGTTGTGGTGAGTCGTTCATCATTTCGATTGCCATTTGCTGGCAGAATTGTTGGGGAAAACAGTCAACAACCCTGCATCCTTTGCAGATTACATTTCAATCTCACCCCACCCTAAAAATAAAAGTGAAAGGTATTTACCGTACCCCGCTAGAATCACAGAAAAAATGATAATTTTGTGACATCGTGAAATAAATGTATTACTGATTCACAGCATCAATCGCTAGTGCATGATGTTACCACTAGATGGCAATTTGAAGTAGGTATGAGAACGCTGAAAAACTATAATTCGTTAAGGACCACCACATCACAGTAATCATTATTAACGGTTTTGTAGTTCAAATGAAAAGCATAATTAATTAGTGTTTATTTATCAGCTCTAAATATCTACAACTGCATGTTTTCCCATAATATTTAATGTTAGAAGTCATGGTTAGTGAATTAGAAATTGTTACTAATATAATTAGTTCGAACACGGAGAAATCTCGATAGTATCTACTATTTAAATTGCAACCGTCGTTAAACTGTAGAAACTTTATTAAATGTCGGCAATAAGCATCTCTTACAACTAACATCGCCACATCGAAGACAATTAATCACGAACACGTATAAAATATTTGTTTTATACATCTCGTTATACTGGTTATGGTGCACTTCTCTAACATGTCACTAGTTGTCGCGTACGCTGCAAATTTGAATACATCTTCTTCAATTACGTGAGAAAGAAAAATATTCGATGTTAAGAAACAATAAATATATATATATATATACTGTGCATATGATATTAATATCACACTGATTTTTATATTTGGACTAAACATATATATGTGGCGAGTCAGATGTGCCCAATAAAATAATATTTAAGGGGAATATAATGATTAGTACTTGTGTTAATCGAGTTCGTGTTTAACAAATTAGCTCATGCATTTTACAACACTGCAGGTTTTGTTTGTATCAAAACATAAGAGAGTGATTGTGTTAGACATATCTGTTATTATAATAGATTTACGTTTTTTTGAATATTACATTTCTTAAAACTTGGAGCGTATATGTATGCTTTAGAAATATTAAACACTGAGTGAATAAAAATAATTTTGTAAGCAGGCTTTCTCAGTGCTATCGTCATTTTTATGATGAAAGTTTCATCTATTATAAGTAGCAGTTTGATCTGTAAAGACTTGTTTAGAAGTCCTCTACAAAATAAGATGCTATAACTGACCAGAATTCTACATTTGCGAAACAGGAAGAAAATTGGAAGCCAGATTCACAGAACACAATAAAAAACCGTCCCTTATTTTCCACCATTGCAACTCAAAAAACCATAGTATATCTATTAAAAACACAGTAATTTGTTTCTAGCGGTGTAAGTCCACAGACATACCGCTGTGCCACTGGGAGCAAATAAATTCAAACAATGGAATCAGGAAAACCATATGAAGAAAAAACCTAATTCCAACAAGAACAACAACAAAACACATACACACACAGGTCTCCCAGTGGCAAAGCGGTGTGTCCGCGGACTTACAACGCTAGAAACCGGGTTTCGATACCCGTGGTGGGAAGAGCACGGATAGCTCATTGTGTAGCTTTGTGCTTAATTTCAAACAAAACACACACACACGGTATTAAAGATCACCTTTCAATATTAATAACAATATCGAGTAACAAACAACAATATTTCACTAACTCACTTGTGACTCAGTTTATGAAGCTTATGGCAAGGTATTCATTGATTGTTTAGAACACGAGAGTACATCTCATGTAATCATATATTTACATAATCTTTTGCTACCTAAATAATATCTGTACGTCACTGGTATCAGTTTCATAATACATACATATTTACTCAAAATAAATGTGGTCAGATAGGAGGTGAGTTAGCGTTTTAATGTAACTGAACATTCATAGATAAACTAAATGATTGAAGGAATAATAAATGAATGATAAATATAACCATAAAAAAAACAAATTCAATTTTCTTTCTCACAGATTTACAAAGCAAAACACATGCTGAATAAATGTAAACGTTATACTTAAAATATAAAACACATACTAGCTAAGCGTTAACGTTGTACTTACAAAACAAAAAACATGATAGCTAAACGTTAATGTTGTTTTTTAAGAAAAAAGACATATACTCTCTACTTTTCTGTAAGTTTGGCATAAAGACGAGAATAGTCTGCAAATATATTCCATAAAGGTTGACATAAAATCGAAAATAACCTATATATCTCTTTCAGTAAATTTGACAAAAAAAACCTTCTATAAATATATTTCAGTAAAGTTGACATAAAACCCTCTATAAATATCTTTCATAAACACTGCCATAAAAAAGAATACAATCTATAACATTTTGCATAAACATTGACATAAAACGAGTACAATCTATAAATATCTTCTATAAACATTGCCATAAAAAAGAATACAATCTATAACATTTTGCATAAACATTGACATAAAACGAGTACAATCTATAAATATCTTGCATAAACATTGACATAAAACGAAGACAGTCTATAAATATCTTCTATAAACACTGACATAAAAACGACGACAATCTATACATATTTTGCATAAAATTGATATAAAACGAGGACAATCTATAAATATCTTGCATAAACATTGACATAAAAATGAGGACAAATATATAAATATCTTGCATAAACATTGACATAAAAACGAGAACAATCTATAAATATATTCCTGAAAATTTGTTACAAAGGTGATCGCAATCTTCAAATATCTTCATATCTTTCATAACATAAAGAACAGAATAACATGTAAAAATCTTCCTTAAACGATTACATAAGAATAAAGACAATCTACAGATATCCTCCTGAAAGGTTGGCTTAATCTAAAATACCTTCCTGAAGAACAGACATAAAGAAAAGAACAGTCTATATAAATATCTCCGAAATTTTGACATAAATACTAGAAGGATCTTCAAACGTTTTCTCTGAATGTTTCGGATCAAAGTAATAAGAATCTATAAATTTATTTTTAAACATATGACATATGGACTAGAATAATCTATACACATATTTATAAAATGAGACTTGCACAGCCACTTTCTGCTTTGTGTAATTAAATAAAATCCTTCAGTTAATTACTTATCATTTACCAATGGTTGTTTTTTTTTTTATGAGTGTTTTGCAAAAGCTATTTCTGTTGTTGCTTATTCCTAGGTTAGTTCGTATAATTTCAACAGTGAACAAAATTGTAACAAGCAATTTTTATTTTTTGCTCTTACACAGCTTTAGTTTTGGATAAAAATTTGGTCGGTTATTTAGCGCAAAGCTACACAATGAATATCCGAAAACGAATCTTGTGAAACACAGAATTAAAAGTGGATTCCACTAAGACAAAACTACTTTTTACTTAAACTTACAACTTTTTAGAAAAGTAAAAACCTATGCTATCTAATGATGTAGCGGAACGTCGAGCGCGTGGCGGTGTCAATTGCTTGCATGTGCACACCAGTACTTTAGCTGTAGCATCCCGCACGTGAACTCTGAATGGTCCAGTGGTCCCGTTACCCAGCTGGTTCGTTTCATCGATGTCAGTCTGATTTTTACAGCTACAAAGCTCAATAGATCAAAATTTCGGGGAAGTGCCTTGCGGCTGTAATATTCGAATCGAGTGAATTAGGCTTCCTTGAAAAACTTCATTCCTTGTCAGTCACATCTCCAAACTCGTTATTACCTGGATTATCAAGACTCATCCACTAGTTGGCTGTCCATGTAACAAACTTAACTCTATACGAGGTCAATAGAACTCTTTGTCTGGTATAGAGAATACGGTTCAAGCGTTAATCTATACAAATATGTCTTTTGACGCACAAGTAATTTCCCAACATTCTCCACGGCTTCCACTGAAACAATGTAACAACAGAGGAAGAAAAAATAATAGCACAGATTCACTAAAAT